TAGTAGTAGTAGTAGTAGTAGTAGTAGTAGTAGTAGTAGTAACAAGAGTATAAGTAGTAGTATAGTTGTGATATTAGTGGTAGTAGTATTAGTAGTGATAAAACAAGTAGTAATAGTACTAGTAATAGTGGTATTAATAGTAGTAGTTGTTGTTGTATGGCAGCAGTCATTGTTTACAGAACATGCTTTTTGTAGTTGATAATAAAGGACCTCTTTCTAAGCTTAAGTGTATTGGGATTATGCTGTATGATGTGTACTATTACAAATCTACTTAAGTACTATTATCGCAACGGAAACAGTCCAGGATATACACGTTAACATTTTTGAGTTGCCACAACTACTGTTATCTTTGAAAGTAGTTACCTCGAATAGGAATTGGCATAAGAACTGCAGTAGAGTGTAGTTGGGGGCCGGCAGGGTTTCAAGGATGGAGATGATGGGTTGCAGGTCCTGTCCATCGTCAATACGGTAGCCGGTCGCCTTGAGACGATCGTAAAATTGGAAGGGTACTACGGGTTCGGGCAGCTCACGGAGGTAGAGCTTCAGGAGACCGGCCGCTGAGTGGGCGTCGTGGAAGCCTGCCTTGAGAATGGGACTCGGCTCCGCAGAATCAAACGCATCGGCCAGCTCCTGGATGGAGTGCTGAGTACCGCATTTCCTGAGGTAAAAAGACGTCAACCGGTCACGTACGTAAACACGCTGCCGACTGTGACAAATAGAGCATTATTAGGAATAAAGAAGAGGACTGATAGTGCACCGGAACAGTTTCTTGATTACTTTAAGGGTTCGAACTCGTACGGAAATGCATCGTCAGCGATATCAGCAGCAGCAAAAAGGCGAGAATTATAGGGGGGACAAGCTTATCAATTATCCGTGACACAATTCCGGCAGTGACTGCGCATGGCTCTGTAAGTCGGCGACAAATCGATATATCGATTGATCGAGTTTTAATCCTCCAAACAATTTTTAACTCATCTTGCTTCCGAATTGAGCGGTTATATAAAATCTGCGGAGTTGAACGCATGGTCCTAATCGTAAGCGTGGGTGACAACTTGCGATATTTCGTCATCCCAGAGTCAGACTGTGGTGTCTTCTTGATTTCGCTTCCATGGCAAGTCACCGTCCTAATGCTCAAGGTGAACCTCGTCAAACCGACAGTGGAGCTTTCAGTTTTGGCAATGTTTAAAATTGCAATTATTACTAACAGATGTTACTTCTGCTAACACGCAAACCATCTGACCTTCGACGCTATGCTACGTCAGCCAAGAGGACACGATTCAACAATGAGAAGCCCAGGCCGACTCGTCTACTCCGACGGCGTATGTGACTTCAAACCTGGAGCACAAAAGATGCAGCGTGTCACATAGCAATTGCCTGTACAGCAATGAGAACGTAGGGTTCCCGTTGGAGGAAACAGTTTCTACGTCTCGCGCTCCTCTTATGCCAAGCATGTTTCGATGATGCGGCTCAATCCAGAGGACAGATAGACTTAGTCTTTGGTTTAAGTGCTGGTCAACCCAACTAGCCCAGAATAAACTTGCGTTGGACACCTGTTTCCCAGCGCCAAGTCAGGAAACGGCCCGTGAACTAAGGTCAAGTAAAATATCGGCTCAACTTAATGCTAATGCTACTTTGTGACCGGACGCAGTGTTTATGTGTCACTGCAGATTGGGCATACGGAATGGATCATGAGAAATATTTCGTATCCACGACGATAATCACCCACGCTGGAAGGAAGGCAAGCCGGGACTTGGTTGAAGTCTGGGCCTCCGATGAAAAGTCCATCAATCGATTTATTTGAGCATAAAATTTAAAGAAGGCGTAATTTGCTATCAAAAAAGTACAAAAAATAATTTTTTTCGTGCATGTTTTCCATAAAATATACTTGAATTTATAAAGGCGGTCAAAATAAATGATGAAAGGCATGCTACTTAAGTATCCCGTTTTTACAATAGATAGGTTTTGCTAGTGGTCAGAAAGAAGCTCGTTAAAAAGCCCACATCATATCATGACTGAAATGACTTCAGAATAGACTACATGATATTCAGTATCACAACCTGAATCAATGTCGATTAGCGAAAGAGCATCAATCTTTCGCATGTTCCGTCGGCATGTTCCGTGATTTTCGGCGACTACTGTATTAGGCCATTGAAAATCAGTAGGCCGCGTGTAAATTACTTAAGGAAGCATTTTTTTCGGAGTGTGATTTTGCCGCGACAAAAGAGGACGCGGGTGGCCAGCAGTTACGGGCACCAACTGGTCGTCACGCCAACAATCAACAAGGGTGATTATATCACGCGGATTAGCGACTCACGTACGGACCGTCAAGCGATCCTCATATCAATTACAACCGCTAGCAATGATCTCACGAGAGCTGCTAATTATCGTAGGCATATGGTCGCCTGACAACTGCGTCCCATAAAGTACACCACTCATTTTGCCTGTATTACCCTTTTTTTCTGTGGCTGTCTCTGATGATGGATTCGCGTGAGAATCCGAAACGCCAGGCCATAAAACTCACTGTTCCAGCGACGGCATCGTCTTATTCTAGAACATAAACTATCAGCGGTAGTACCTAAATCCGAAGGTGGTGGT